ATCCGATCTGCTCTTCTTCTTTTTTTTCCAAACAGAAATTTCCACTCTAAAGGAAGAGATTATTGAAGGATTACAAAAGCATCTCTTGATGAATTTCAGCCTGGCAAACATGGATGCTACAGCAGATTATTTGGACTATAATTATAGCAGAATTTTCGATGAAGACCAAACTATATCCAACTATTTTAAAAATATCATTCTGTCTATCGTATTGATCATATCCTGTATTGGAGTCCCATTAAATGGAATTGTTATCTGGCTGCTTGGCTTCCAAATTAAGAGAAACCCTTTCACCATATTGATTCTTAATTTAGCTATTGCCGACTTTGGGTTTCTCATCTTTATGACTGTATATTGCATTGACATTTTTACAAGTTTTATACAGCCAAGAATTTCCCAGAAAATCTTCTATTCTCTCTTCAATGTCACATATATCAACGGTCTGTTTCTTCTGACGGCCATCAGCATTGACCGATGTGTGTCTGTCTTTTTCCCAATCTGGCATCGCTGTTCCCGGCCAAAATATTTGTCCCCTGCTGTCTCTGCCATCCTCTGGATCTTCTCTTTCCTCCTGGTTGGAATTAGCATCAATCCTGATAATTTAATTATTTCTTATACCCTCTATGAACTCCACTTGGTCGTGACTGCTGTGCTTTGCCTTCCGTTGATCACAACCTCTACTGTGATCCTATTCATCAAAATATGTCTTAAATCAAAACAGCTCAAACGTGGAAGAATCTTAGTGATGATCTTAATTACTCTTCTCTGTTTTCTTATTCTTACACTCCCATTATATATCTATGTGTTCGTTATTTATTTTATTCAGAAGATTCATTTGATTCATTTTACTGAATTAGATTTCTGCTTCAGTCTGTGTGCTTCTCTAAACAGCAGCGTTAACCCAGTGATCTATTTTCTGGTGGGGAGAAAGAAAAGAGCTGGCTCTAGGGAGAGCATCAAGGTCATTTTTCAAAGAGTCTTCAGGGCAGACGAAGCTCCTGAAATCTGATAAAAGTTTACAAACACAATTTCAAACCCTCTGTAAATGCAAAACTCCTGCTTTTCTTTAATGCTGGTTATCTATTATGAGTACATAACTGTATTTCTTGTTATAGAAATGAAGTATAATAAAGGATTCTTTCCTCTCAAGAGGAA